AGGTCAACTTCTCCAGACAACTCTCCTTTATGGTGGAAATACGATATAGGTCTCCACCAAGAGATTAGAAACTGCAGTTTAAAATCTCTTGGTCCAAACGGACACCAGGTAAAAGTTATTTTCTGAATTCTCATGTAGACGAAATGTATCTACCCTATAGTTTACTTGATTTATGCTCTTACTGCTAGAAAAAGACTTGAATATATTGAATATATACATCAAAGCGCGCGCATTAATATTGTGAGTATTTTTTTAGTCTTCACTGAAGAAAAGCAAATTTTCCTTCTCTAAAAACCACATTGTTTTTTTCTCTTTGAGAGTTCGATAGACTGGCCATCAGTGTGCTGCCTTGGTTTAGCTCTGGATTCGCTCTGTGCGTTTGCAATACAATAACCCACTTTGTTATAATTATAACATCTAATCATGTTACGACTGGCTACTAAATATAAGCTGTTGTAGATATCGTAACCGTGGTTACATCGCCTGGTACTTTCATGTACCTTGCGAAGGAGTGATTCTGGGAAAATTCTAACATTTATATGAATTGACCTTCTAACTGAGGCCGCAGACTAACGCCGATATTCTTTTACCAGCAACGAACTCTCATAAACGGGTTCAACCACACTGCTTTAGTTACCCCGTACCCCTTCCAAGAAGGGCGAAAGGAATTCTCTATCAATTTTAAAGCTTAGTTCATATTTAAATAGGATACCTTAAATCTCAAGAACGATTGCGTAAGACTTTGATTTCGTCCCTAAATTTGTTGCCTTGTCACGAACAGCACCTTTAGATTGTTGCTCTAGTAGAAGGCGGAAGTGATATGCAAATCTCTCGAACCAGACTGCCGTCAGTGCCAGTAGAGAGAGAATGAAACTGAATGGCGATATATTCTAGTGCCGAGATCCCCTGGGCTAAAATTATCGCGAAAAGGAAGACCCATTATTGAAAGCAGAAAATCCTTTGAAAGTACGATTGTAGACGTTCCCTGAACACTAGTAATTGTTATTTCAGCTTTTGATATGTTAAGACAGTTCGCGCGTGGTTTTTCTTGTTCTTTCTTCAGCCACCACTACTTTCGGCTCTTGGATTTGTTTTTCTATGCATTGAGTCCAAGTTTGGAACAGACATTCCCGTCGAAGGAGCGATCGGAATATTTTAAGGCCTCACTAAGGCTAAGCAGGCTTTATTCGGGCTTTTAATAAGGGTCTTCGTTTTCGTACTTCGAAAACGAAGACCCTACATTGGCCAAAAGAATTGCTTACTTTTTAACGAGAATTTTACAGCAGAGAATGCCGTTAGAATCTATTTTAGCTGCGAAATACAGTAGACATAGATTATTTATTGACAGAACCCAAGAGTCATTTTCTGTACAGAAGGCATTCTTTGTTATTCTGTCACGCAATGCTAACTATAAATCAAAGGCAGCTAGCGTTCGAATTCTGCCTGCTGTTCCAGAGTAATATGTGTGGTAAGTATACCTGAGGAAACCCTTGAGGATATCAACACCCAATTGGCTCGCATAGCAAAACAGAACAGACAAGATGAGCCAGTAGTACTGGCAGTATAGTAATGGCAGTCGTTTTCGCAGTACGAAAACGAAGACCGGGTCTTAGGTCTTTGTTTTCAAGGGTCTTCGTTTTTGAGGGTCTTCATTTTCGTAACACCCAAAATTTTTCACAGAGCAGTACTATCCATCCGGGTTTTTTCTGCGGACGGGCACTATGGGCTGTTAGTGTCTCTTCAAAGACCAACACTATCACATCATGTGATCAATTTAAACCAATAAGAATCTGAGAAAATTTAGTGATGAACTATGGACAGGACATAGGACAGGGTTTGGGCATGTAGAATCAGGTACTGTGACGGTGGATCCAACATTTTTGTGTGTGTTTCAAAAGAGTACAACCAAACAAAAGACTTGAAAACCTAAACACAATGGCTGTTGCATGTACATGTATGGCAATTAATTGTTTCCTCATAGACACAGGAATTTACGGGTGATTCATTACGAAAAGAAGTGAACATTTTCAAAAGTGACAAAGTTCTAGTTTTAAAGGAAGGAGAGGGCCCTGAGAATGAAGTTGCAGAAGTTCCACCAAGGTTTTTTTATGTATAGATAGAAAACATCTAACATGCAGTACTAGATACATGACTTTTGTTTCCTTGAAAGGACATAACCAACTTGCAATTTGGTCTTCTTCAAAATCGTGAAAGTGTTTATAGAGGACTTAAAAAGGCACATGGATACATCAACCCAAAGGTAACTGATTATAGGCTGTAACTTAAAGGAAATTTTCAAACAAAACACTTGTTTCTGTCGCATGAAGTTATTAGATAAGCAGCATTGATGATGATGATGACTTTATTGAAACTCGGATGAAAATGAGGCTTGTTAGGCCTCTAGCAATAGAGATGCTAATATACCAAGAAAAATATATGAATATAAATTTCAGAGTTTAAGAATAATATAAGCCTAAATGTAAATGATGATATAATGATGCCTGATAGAAAATTACAAATTACTTAGTTTCCTGAAAGGGCCAAATTCGGCTATAAATCTTAGCTTATTAGGTAATGTATTCCAAGCCTTAGCAGCAATGTAAGAAGTCGACTTAAGGCCGTAGGTTGTGGTCTTAGCTACAGGTAAAACAAGTTTGTTTTTGCCCCTAAGATTTTTCTTATTGCTTCTCCTTCAGTCCTTAAAGTGCCACTACGACGAAAATTTTTGTCTCTGGTTTCCACATTTTTTAGCGCCAATCAAGTTAATATGGTTAGAATTTTACTATGTGATAGTTTTTAGGTCGATGGAAGCGAAATACGCCTTGATATAGCTGGCCGAAATTCACGAAAAACCCGTCCGCCATTACTCAGCTCGCAACCGAGAGCCAGTGACTGAACTGAGAAGCGGTTTTACGCATGAGCTGGCCTGTGACGTCATATGCGCACTTTCGCATCGTGCTTCGTGTGTTGTGAGAGATTCGACAGTGGAAATTCTAGGCGTTTTATAAGATGTATTCTTCCTCGAATTCTTCTTCCAAATGGCATACAAATTTAGCCACGTTTTTTAGGTCGAGCTGCGCATATGACGTCACTTCCGAAAGGCTCCAACTAGTGCCAACTCTTTTTGCCACACGCGGCCATTTTTGAATTGAGTAATGGCGGGCGACCAAAAACGAAAAACAAGGTTGAAATAATCATACTTCCCGTGAGGATTTTGCGATTAAACTTGGCATGGTAAGTGTTTCTTACTTCTAGTTTCCAGAAGTGTAAAGAAAAGGCAATGCGAAATTTTGATCATAGTGGCACTTTAAAACGATGCGGGCAGCGCGATTTTGTAACCGTCAGTAGAGTTTTGCTGGANNNTGACCTCTGCAATACTAGTGCAGCGCTCTACCAATTGAGCTGACAAGCCAACTGAGAGCAGGCCGTTAAGTTGATTCGTAATAAACCCGTGAAGATAAATCAGATACAATGTATATATGAAGTTTATATATTTTGAACTGCGGTATTAGATACGTATGATGCACGATCCTCGCAGTAGAGAGCACTATTTATGCAATAGCAAAAAATCAGACCTGAAAAAAATCAGGCCTGTACGGGATTCGAACCACTGACCTCTGCAATACTAGTGCAGCGCTCTACCAATTGAGCTGACAAGCCAACTGAGAGCAGGCCGTTAAGTTGATTCGTAATAAACCCGTGAAGATAAATCAGATACAATGTATATATGAAGTTTATATATTTTGAACTGCGGTATTAGATACGTATGATGCACGATCCTCGCAGTAGAGAGCACTATTTATGCAATAGCAAAAAATCAGACCTGAAAAAAATCAGGCCTGTACGGGATTCGAACCACTGACCTCTGCAATACTAGTGCAGCGCTCTACCAATTGAGCTGACAAGCCAACTGAGAGCAGGCCGTTAAGTTGATTCGTAATAAACCCGTGAAGATAAATCAGATACAATGTATATATGAAGTTTATATATTTTGAACTGCGGTATTAGATACGTATGATGCACGATCCTCGCAGTAGAGAGCACTATTTATGCAATAGCAAAAAATCAGACCTGAAAAAAATCAGGCCTGTACGGGATTCGAACCACTGACCTCTGCAATACTAGTGCAGCGCTCTACCAATTGAGCTGACAAGCCAACTGGGAGCAGGCCATTAAGTTGATTCGTAATAAATCCGTGATGATAAATTGGGCCCTGGGGCTTGTTTCTTGAAAGTTGCTGTAACTTTCATGCCTGTCAAGCCATGCATGTTTTAAAATCAAAATTTCAAGGATAGGCAAGCAGACTCTGGCACCCAAACTGGTCTTTTTTGTTTCTTTAGCTGAAAGTTTATTGTATCATTTTCAAAACTTTGGAAATCCCTATCTTTAATGAAAACAGAACAGCCTTATGGGCCTGTTAAGTTACCGGGACTTTCAAGAAACAGGCTCCAGGTCTCTAACCTTGTTATTGATTACAGTACCATTGTGCACACTAGTTACAGAGCCTAATTCATTATGTTTTTTTTCCTTTATTTTCCTTTGCTTCATGGAAAGGCTAATATACCAGTCAGAGTATATTATGCTTATTATTATTATTATTATTATGCTATTAGGCATGTACCAGAGTTCACCTCATTCAAATACGGGCTGGTACAATTTTGAACGAAACAGTCACTTTGGAAACAATGGATAAAGAATCGTTAAATATGCCACTGAACTGTAGAGAAAGCCTTCTCTTATCTGCAACACCAGTTCAATTACAACTTAAGACTGCTGATGATGAAGTTGATGGAGTGGCAATTGTAAAATGCAAAGGTGGCGAATTTACCTGTGAAGGACTGATTTCAAGTGAGTGATGAGCATTATATATGACTGTACATGTTTTACAGCTTTATGCATGACAAGGACAATAACAAAGGAATAAGGCTGGATATTTTTAAATTTTTCCTCTTTCTTTTGTTTGTGACAATACCTGGAAAGTGCAGATATACTCACAATATTGTAATGGATGTAAATGTTTTTGACCGCATAAATGATAATTACTTATTAAATACCCACTTCTGTCATAAAAGATATGTGCCAATTCAGCCTAACTTAGTTGTGAAACTAGAGCTTGAATTAGATACTGAGAAAAAATACTTCAGACTTCATCAGGATTCAAAATTATGACCCCTGTGAAATTACTGGACATGTATTACTTTATTCAATCAAGCCATCAATTCAGTGGCAGTTGGTCATTCCATAAGACTTGCTTAATATCAAGAGTGTGGTGTATGCGCATGCCCACATGCTATTGCTTTATTCACGCTTCATTTGCTGCAGCTGTCAGTTCATGTAGTTGGTGTTCATTGTAGGGAGAGTTGAAAAGACTGACCCCACTCCGCAGACTACCCTATGGACTACTCTGCAAACTATCCAAAAGACTACTCCACAGACCACCCCACTGACTACTCCGCAGACTGCCTCCATGGACTACCTGAAATAATCAATCAAATTTAGTTTTATGGGGGAAGAGACACAAGCCTTAACCTGCTCAACCTGCACGATTAAAACAGCTATCCACCATTTTCGTTTCGCCGACTTCCTCGACCCAGTCTTTCTTTCATGTTTGCCCCATTCTTCATCAGCCACCAGTCTAAACAATGTTTCCACAATTACTTGCCATGGATAACTTACAAAATGATTACAAACATTTCAAACTAAAAAGGGCAAATTTTGCATTCATTTGTAATACAAATCAGCCAAGAATATCATAAAGGAAATTTAGTTCACCTGTCTGTAGTCCTCTCATTTTGCAGGGCGTCAATTGTAAGGAAGATTCAAAAGAGCTACTTTT